ACATGTCATATTTCTATTACACAAGGCTGCTCTAGACCATGGGTCTCCTGAATTTGCCACTGCCAAGGCCTGAAAGGGCCTCTTCTGCCAATCTGTTCTACCAAGGATGAACCCCTCAGTGATGTGCATACTCCTAATGGTGGCCAAGGGACTACTGGATACACTGGGTGTGGATGGATCTACAGTCTGGGGTGTTCATGCATATGGATGTGAGGTCCCCTGCTATGCTGAACAAAGGCAGGGCAGAAAGAGAAGAGCCTGCTGGGAAGAGGAGCCTCACAATTGTCAGGGAGAGCCCTGGGCTCTGGGTAAAGGTGGTCTTGAGGAGGTCAAGGAGCATGCATAGTTGTAGGAGATAACAATGAGAGAGCTGGAAGGAGCAAAGGCTGTGCTTGGCTTTTTGTGCTGGTAATGTTCAAAGTGAGGCTATAGGGCGGGTTCTCGAGGGCTGTGGAGATGCAGGTCATTGTAGTTGGCAGTTATTTTCTTTCTGAAGAAGCCGCTTGATGGCTGGGGGGCGGGGAGTAGAAGATGTTTGGGATGAACAAAACAAATTGAGACAGTTTGTATGTGTTTGTCTCAATATTTATGTCTTCACGGAAGGAAGAGGCCAGCAACTCACAATAAACAGTGGACCCAGCCTCTGGGCTGAGGCAAGGGCCAGAATTTGAGCCCTTGAGGTCTGCCAAAAAGAAAGCAGTACACTCTGGGCACAGAGTATTGAAAATCAGGGACGCTGGCATAGGGGATAAAGGAGGGATATAATTTGTTGCAAGGTAGAAACTCAATTCGAGAAAAACACAGAAACTGAGTTGTTCAAACACGATGCAAAGCCAGAGTGTCCTGGCAAAGAAAATTTTTCACTGAGTCCCAGACACTTGAGCTGGAGCTCCCTCTGTCTCTCCTAAGGTCAGTCAAGGTCAACCTCAGCTATGGGGAGAAGATGGCCAGCAAAGGCTGAGAACATGGTGGTGCCTCACAACTACCCAAGATAATATAGACACTTGAACTCTACTTTCCTTATACCATCAGAGAAGTGGAATCCTTATGGTAAAATTATGTGTATTTTGCGATCCCTGATAAATATTGAATGTGTAGAAACACAGTGTCTTGGCCTGGAAAGGGAGTAGGGGAATTAATAAGCTAGAAGGAGAAAAGTGGGATGATTTTTATGGTCCAGTCTTCAACATTACTGTATAGTCTTAGAGAGATCAGTTCCTCTCTCTCAGCCTCAATTTCTTATTTATAAAATGAAAATTCAATCAGATGATCTAATTGGTTCCTCTAATTATTTTCATCCTAAGTAAACACAAGACATACAATATTGTCATATCTTCTCTCCCAAAGTGGCCACGTTGAAAGATTTCAGGAAATGTTTAGGACTTAAATGAAAATATCAATCAGAGGCATATTACATGTGCAGAGTATTTATGGCAATTCCAGTAAAATATCTCTGAGTTCTGAACACATATGCCAGTTAATCCCACATAATTCCTGGGAGATTTTGTTGCCAAAGAGATCTGCTTCCATTACCACTGCGGCAAAATATTGCCTATTAGGTAGCTTCCTCATTACCTTGCCTTCTTGGACTTTATTTTATCTCACTATTATTCAAACCATAAATTAGTGTAGATATTTCCTATGAAATTAGTAACACAACTATGTGGGAGTATCTATTTATGAAGGGAGAAATCCTGATAAAGCGGGTTTGGAAAAGTGGGCCCGGCTGGAGGCATAGCTGGGGCTGTGTTTCAGACCTCTGCTCAGCTCACAGTGGTCCAAACCACTGTCTGCCAGGAGCCGAGCCAACATAAGCATACACACTGTACCCCGTGTGCTCAGAGCTACTTAGAGCTCACAGAGCCCCTTTTTCCTTGAGTTGCTCTGGAGGCAAAGTCACAGCCGCTGGGCACTCACTAAGCCGAGGCACAAGCTGGTCAGAGTAACCAGCCCAGAAAGGCCGCGCCTTAGACCCCAGGGGGCAACACGCCTTTTCAGGTAGACCTGCAAGGCTCGCCTCAGCTGTTTTGCTTGTGACCTGCACTGCGCTAGCTTTTAGTGGCCAGTCTATTAAACGAAAGGGAAGGTTGTCAAGAAAAGGAAAGTTACTGGTGTAGGTAAATATTTTAAAAAAGAAGAAATAAATCCAAACGCATTTTGAGTTACTAATTTTAAATCTTTTTGGCACAGCAGATGGGGACATCGCTAAGGATGCCTGGATGCTGTCCTTTGATGCAGCATAAAGCTATGACAATGGAAACAGCACTATCTTTACTTGTAAAGAATGGTAAGAATATAACCGGTGGGTTTTGAATAATGTGAGTACAATTCCATTCCAACCAAGATTTAAGAGTCTTGCAGATTCATCGGATAGCGAGGACTTATAATCATTCCTTGCTCAGTTGGCATGTGCTGACATTATTGAAGGATTACTTCTACAGTGGGTGATAAATTTCAAGTACAGGGTGTCCCCCCAAAAATATATACACAGTTTTTTTCTGATAGCTCAATTGATGTTTCTTTCTTTTCAGATTTAATCCATTAGATTTAATAATCATTCAAAGTATGTATATTTTTGGGGACACCCTACATATGGAAGAGAAATTTTTCTTCTCACAGCATCTAATTTTAGGGCATAATTTTTATCATTTAGGTCAAATAAGACATCATGACAAACTCTTACAAAAATGGCCATGCTGTTGGTGTAAACCCAGCACATCTTTGATTTTCCAGAGGTCGTTAGTAGCTGGGGTCCAATTTTTGTGTCTAATGAGCAGTGAGGTAGAACAAAGCCAAGAACTTCTAAATCAGCATTTCACACACCCTAGAACATCGGGTATAAAAGTCCAAAAACGTTAGAAAAACTCAACCATGTGAGACAGAAACTTTGGAAACATTAAGCAGTCTCTTCCTCTAAACCTGACATTGGCCCCATGTCACAGGCCTGGTAACTTGGAGGTTTCTTCCCTCTTGCTGCTGGCCAAACTGGGGCTTCTCTTTCTAGGACAGTTCTGTTCCTCTGTGTACGTTGTGGTTTTTTTGCGGTTTAAGTCGAAGTTTGTCACCCAGAGGCCTGTGATGACTCACAGCCCAGCTCCAAGGGGCTGCGACAGTCTTGGTGGCCTGCAATGACACACCATCCTGTCTCCCTCTTCCAGGAAGGAAGCACTGCAGTGCAAGAGAAAAGCATAGGACATGTGCCTGAGAAACCTGCAGCGAGCTGGTTTTGAGTCTCTTAGCTTTAAACCAGCAGCGATTCGGTCAAGTTCCTCACGCCTGCGTTAAAGAACAGAGCCCTGGTTTTGTGAGTTACTCTAATTATCGGAACATTTCATTTTCAAAAGAGTATTGCTGGTGCCACCTGGTGGAGCTACTGTGAATCTCACAGCCTTGGGATGTGCCTTAAATCCAGGCATTTTCCGGGACTGGGACTTAAATTTGGGGCCTAGTTACAGTGGCTATCTTTTTATGAGGTCTGCTATATATGTTTTGGCACTTTTATTCTGACATGAGGATGTGGTGATCCAGGGCATTGTTTTTTGTTTTTGTTTTTTAAATATATTTTTATTAATTTCAGAGAGAGGAAGGGAGTGTGAGAGAGAGAAATATCAATGATGAGAGTCATTGATCGGCTGCCTCCTGCGCGTCCCCTGCTGCGGATCAAGCCTGCACCCCGGGCATGTGCCCTGACTGGGAATCGAACCCCGATCGCCTGGGTCATAGGTCAGTGCTCAACCACTGAACCACACCAGCCGGGCTGGGGCATTGTTTTTGATCTAACATGAAAGTCCCCTCAGAATAATTTCAAGGTCAAAATTTGTTATATCAGCATAGAATCTTGTCAATTGTTCCTATTTCAAAAACACTTGGACTAGTGGTTCACTTTCAGGGTTTTTTTTAAACTTTCCCCCTCTTTATTTGAGAAAGAGGCTATTACTGGCTGCAATTCAACTAATGTGCAGTGCATTTGCCCAGGATGTTAGCTCCAGAAAACATACTCCAACATTTGTGGACATAGTATTCTCATAAAACATTCATTTGGTTTCCTCACATCTTTCATGAAGGAGCTAACAGTATTTTAACTATAACATATTTTATAGCAGATTCTATGAGAACCAACTGCTCAACTCATAATGATCTCTTTGGAGCTTACCCCACCCCCATTGGTAAGCTACAAAATAAGCTTTTGTTAAGAATTTGAATTCAGTGTTCTGGCTGCAGTGGAAGAATATGGAGTCAGGTAACACCAGCTAGATTGAAATTTGAAATTGAAACTGAAGCAGAGATGGGAGTCAGGAAATAATCCTGACTATATACCCTTACCTACCTATCAATCACCTATAGATCATCTATCATCTATCTATCTATCTATCTATCTATCTATCTATCTATCTATCTATCTATCTATCATCTATCTATCTATCATCTATCTATCTATCTATCTATCATCATCTATCTATCTATATCTATCATCTATCATCTATCTATCATCTATCATCTATCACCTAGCGTCATCTCTATCCATCCAAGAGAGAGAGAAAAAAAGAGAGAGAGAGACCACGCAAGCCAATGATAAAGAATAAAAGAAAGTAGGTGAGGTTCCATGTTCAGATATGTTTGAAAACCCCTTTTCAACAAAGTTAAACAGCTTCTTTTCCACAAGACTATTTGTAACCTTCAATGTGATATTGTGTGATATAAATCTTCTGGAAGGGGATATTGAAGGGTATCCCTCAAGATCTTACCAGCAAATAAGCGAACAAACAAAACAAAATAAAACTAAAGCAGTGAGTGAGCTATATTGACCAAGAAACATTGGCAAGAAAAAGGAATAATTTAAATAGATATTTTTTACGAGGGAAACATAAAATATACCACAAGACAAAATATACCATATAACACCATCTCTTGAAAATATCATTTTTATTATAAACAATATAAACACTTCCCAATACATTTTGCAAATATAACACACTTTCTTTTCTTTGCCTGAGTTTTTATAAACAAGATCTCTCAGCACAATGGTTCTTCCCTGGATGGCCATTCATATATTCAATAAATGGCAAGTGCCAGGCACTGTAAAAAGTACTGAGGGATTTTTACTTAAAAAGGAGAGAAAAATACACTGTTGCATATCCTCAGGATGACCACAATCTACTTGAACTTTCTTTATCGTGGATGTCTCTGTTTTAACATATATCCTTCTAATACATAAGATGTAATTTGTCTCTATCTGTAAATAAAATGGTCTGTATAATCCAAGGTAAACTGGACAGTTAAAACAATTATCTTGATGAAAATGCGTAAAAATGCTACTTTTAGTCTTAATCAGATAATTTATGAGAAAGTGATGCTGTGGTCTTAGACCATTTTGATAACAATTTTGATACTTTACTCTGATATAATTTGAAAGACCTGAAATATTTGAATACAGAGAGATTGTTCCTCTTTATCTTCTACAAATATGCAACAAATATTTGTCTTCTTTGAGAGGAAGTGTTGAGTCATTGTCAAAAGTAAAAATTAAACAGAATCCAAAGGCCACATCTACTGTTTTCACCATTAGTCTCTGTCTCCTGTCTTTACTGACCTTGATATGTCCTTAGCGTCTATATGAAGAGGTACATGTACCTCCAAATATTTTCAATGCAAAATCCATATCATTTTTTTGTAAAGTGGTTTACATTACATTTATTACAGACAGACACTTCCCTTTGGTTTGTCTTTGTTCTCCTGTGGCTACCATATGACCCCCCCAAATTCTATTTTTATACTATTTAATACTTTTTCACAAAGATGACTTATTAATTATATAAATGTGATTTACTTTTATGCCTTTGCAAAATTTCCTTATAAATATATTAAAAATTATGCTAACTCTCTCTGACAGACCATATGTTCCATTTTTGACGTGCGAAATACTGTCAGTCATTGCTTCTAGATAGCACATGAGAATCAGGTGATCCTTAGAGAAACAGAAATTCATCACTTTAAAATACAGTGTGGTTCCAGCCACGCACAGCCATATAGATATTACATAGTCAATGATAACTTACTGAAGCTTGTTCACAGAACGAAGCTTTCCCTGATATCTTCCCCTCTCCCCAACCCTCCCTCCCACAGCCTTGAAAGTATTATCCCAAATGTTCTTCAGGATTTAAATAACAATATTTAAAAGACACTTAACACCACAATAGGGAATTTGCTGTCATGACTCGAACAATACGGTCAGTCCAGATGCTGTATTCAAACTGTATGGGCCCGTTGAAAAAATAGATATAACCTATAAGAAAAATACCAAAAAAAATTCAGTTTGAAAACTGGGCTTACTCCACCTACCATTAAAAGTCCATTCTGTTAGATCCATTTTTAAATCTATACCAACATTTACCTTATTTGTCTTTATAAACCTTACTAATGCTTTATTATATTGTATATAGTTTAAGAGTGGGGAGTCTAAGGGTTCCCAGCTCTTCTAAATTATCACCTCAAATTAGTTGTTGTCTTGTCATGAGTTCTCATTTTGATGTCTGAAGTGTTGGTATTAGTTACTTGTTTTAAGTTAGGGATAATATCCCTTTTCATAATTAAAGTAAAAATCATTATATAGTTATGATAGCCATTGATCTTCATATATAAATCACTCCCCTCTCTACCCCTGATTTGAATTATGGCAATACTCCTTGCATCTTGGCTTCCTTAAGCATGGTTTAAGGTAGTGTTTAAGGTTTGGCATCTTTTATTCACAGGATTAGCAATCATTAAGGAAAATTCTCATTTACTGTAAGCATATTATTTTTTGTTTGCTATCTGTGGAAGCAATCACACAGGAATGACTAATTCCTTAACTGCCACACAGTTATTAGCACATCTAAGTCCTGTATAAAAACCCTTTCTAAGAGCAGTGACTTTGCGGGCCCAGGGCCCTCCATGAGGGCCAGTGTGACGGGATCAGTTACCATTTTTCTCATAGGCAGCGTCTACGTTGTCGCCAATCCCTGGGAAGCGCTCTTCTATCAGCCTGGGGTAGTCTTTCTCCATCACATGGTTGGTATCATCATAACTATTTAATAAGGGGGAAAAAAACCTCTTAAGTAGGTTGTATTTCTTAGAAATGATACAATGGATACAATGGTATCTTTCAAAACTGACAAGTTTTAAAATTTTAAGTTTGTTTAAAACATCTGGTAGATTTTTAAAATAAGGAATTACAATCCTGAGTGTATCGTGGATGTTCGGTGAGTATTTTTTGACTTGCCTAGAGGCCATCTTTGTAAAGACAAGTTACTAGCTCATTTCCATTTCACAAATTGCATATCTATTGTAAAAGTAAGCTATTAGAAAAGTGTTCTTAGAGGAAATCAACATATGTTAATGCCTTGAATAATTTTCTATTGATCTCCCACTGTGTGTAGAAGAGATGGCTTTAGCATAGTTGGGTTACAACAAATGGCTAAGAAAGAAAAGATTGGCTCGGTTGAGGCGAGAATTATATGAATATATGTGTATTTTCAAGAGGACTTGAAACTTTAAACATCTCCGTCGGAGAGGCTGCCTGCAGGAGCTGACACAGAACAGAAACTCATAGGACTGGTTTAACATGCGTGGGATAATCATTTGAAGTGGTGAGATGGTCAAGACTCACTTTGCCTCTAGGACACAAGGTCCCTGGCCAGGAAATACGGAAAATACAGCTGTCTCACCTCCAGACCTGGTTTCCTGAGAAGAAGAGAGTCTTCCCTGTGTCCTCGAAGTGGACAGCTGCGCTTATCTTTTTAACCTCTTTTGGAAATCCTAGATCGGATATTTTTTTGGGATAACCTTCCAGAATATCATAGCCGTTGAGAGCCCAAAATTTTCTGCCTAGAATAAGTGAAAGAATGGTCCTATTATCCAAGGGAATCTGTTAGGATTCACATATATAGACATTTACTTTAACAAAGAAAGACTCATCTTATGCATTTAGAAATAAGTTAGTATTTGTGGTCAATAATCAATTATTTAGAAATAAATTAGCCAGTGTCGGTGGTTGCCATGTCTATGAAACCTAGAAATATGAGCATTCTTTACACAAAAATAAGATTTAAGATCTTAATTTCCTAATTATGAGTATAGCCAACCAAATATAATAATTAATTTGGCAATTTATTACCTCTGAATATTAAGTTTAAAGCTGGGTGAGAAACACTAAGATTTCTGAACATATAAGAAGCACAGTAGGAACAGTAAATAAGACTGAAAAGTCAATTTTTTGTAGAAGATAAGTTATTTCCGCCTCTAAAAAATAACTTCTTTATAGCATTAAATATAATAGTCAGACAATAGAAACAATGTCAGTAGAATGCTACGTAAGCATTGTAAATTATGATCATGAAGGTGGAGTGACAATTTGGAGAATTTTTTATGATTTTATGTCAAGGGAACAAGTAGAACATTAAATACACATATACTATGAATATAAATACTTAAAATATGTATTACATATAGTGAAGGACTAGAAAAGAAAGCGATGAAGTGAAATATGATAAGTAGACTTCAGGAGGGGGAATGTTGGATAACATTTTTTTCAATTTTTTTGAAACATACATTGTTATTATGCTTGCTCAGTGAATAATTTTTAAAAGGAAATAGAAAAAAACTGACATGATTGCTATGAAACAAAAAGTATTTATCATATATACTTATTATAGTTCCCATATGTGTATATATATGTATATATGTGTGTGTCTATATGTATATGCATGTATATACCCTTATATACTTATCATAATAATGTAGACTTTCCACTTGTCCAATCTGAGGATACTTTATAGAAAGGTCTCAGGTGCTTTCTGTTCTCCATTTTGTTATACTTGGGTCTTAATTTAGGTATATTTTCAGGAGTGATCATTTGAGTAAGTCTGGGAGCTTTAAGGCTGTCACTGCCTACCCTGGACGTGCGGGAGGCCCCGCCAGTGGAAGGCTTGCTTACCTCTAAAGATGAAGATGAGGTCATGGGAAGGATGCTCATATGCAGCATCGATACGGTTGGGAAGTTCTGGCCAAAAGGACTTAGTTAAAAACAGCTCTGCGTCAACCTGCTGAGGATGCAGGCGCCAGAAGAATCTAACACAAAGATAAAAATACAGTTTTCTGTCACTTTGTAAGTGCGATATTTCTATCCTGCTGGCCACCTGTCTCTACATCAGTGCAGATGAGTTAGACACAACCATTCTCTGTCACCTGTGAAGGGAAAAGGGTTTCCATTCCCTCTAAGTGCCAGTTAAGCAAGCTGTCGCTACCCTGACTCTAGCCTGAAGTATTACAGTTTTGTCTCACAGGGCCTTTGTGAAGGCTGTAAGTCCTTTGTGGGTTGGGACCTTGCTTTGCTCAATGTTGCATATCTTGCAAGTGGAAAGCAAATAAACCAGGCACTGCGTAGGGCTCTGGAAAGAAAACATGTGCTACATAAACTGTGCTGGCCAAGGTCTCATGGCTGAATGAGAAATACCTGGAGTATAGCACAGTATCACTAGAGCTATAACAGAGGAGGTAGAAATGCTGATGGATCACAAATGAAGGAACAATTAATTGATGAATGAATGAATGAACAAATAAACATTTATAAGCATATCAAAATTAAAGTGAACATTTCTTTTTCATTACCTACAGGTTTAGTTTGTAAAGCACTCCCTCTCTCTCTCATATTCCAACATGTATACCTAATGCAAAGGCTTTCACACCAAAAGGAAGTCATGTGGACATTACGAGGAACTATTTACCAATGTGGTAAGTAATTTCAGTATTTGTGTTTTTAAATAAATAAATTAGATTTGTATATTTACTTGATTATCTTTATTAAAAAGACTATACCAAAGATATAAAAAATTCTGCACAATACCAAGGTTATTCATTGAAAAGTAAAATGTTTATCCATGAGTCATTTATTTCATCTGAAATATGAAAGTAAACTGCCCAAGGTTCTATTGTTTTCACTGTTAACTTCACCATTGGAAGTTTGACTGGATGTTTTGACAATTTGCAGACACAGCTTCACAAATGTTAGTTACATGCAGATTTTATAAAATCATGTCCAGAATACCTGTCTTTAAAGATGATCGTTTCTCCTCGGAGACTGGTAATGGCATCAAGGGATAAGGCGGGATCACACTTGTCTGGTGTTTTGGGGTGTTGGGGGTTGGGGTCCTCATCTCCTGGACCTGCCATCATAAAATAAATGAAAGAAGTTACTGGGGGTGGCCTTACTGATGACCCGGCCCTGCTCATGGAGAGCAGGAGAGGGTTCCCTCCAGGGAGGGCAGTAAACCCTGCTGCTCCTGCACAGTGGTCCAATGCCATGTAATCTTCCTTCTCCCTCCAGGGTTACCCAGGTCTTGCAGGTGGGACTTCTCCTTCTGCTCTCATCCTTCAACACTTGAGATTCACTTGAAGCACAAATTTAGTTTTCTTGAGGATGGTGATAGAAAGGAGGGGAGGGAGCTTTGAGGAAATTTTACTCATGCTTTGCACAACCTATTGACAGCCTGCTCTTAAGAAACACGTTCTTCTTAAAGCCATTTCTGGTGGCCCATCACCCTGGGAGCCCTTATCTTGGCTCTTTCTCTTGCCTATTTTCCCAGCTGTCAACATCATCTAATGTTGCTTCACTAGTTTCCTGCAGGGCAGCTGCCTCTCGGTGAAAAGCCAGGCCTTCAGCAACACGAATAGGACTTGCCACATGTTTATAAATTTTCCAGCTCACATGAGTGCAAAAGGGGTACAGTGCACAATAACCATTCTAAACTGCTTTTTCTCTACCTAGTTCCTGTGTGTTGTATCATCAAGTCCCTTGGTCATAGTATTGTAGAAATAATAAGAATTGCAAAATACTTGCTCACACCTACACTAGCTGCTCTAGTAGATTTAAATCCAGAGGGGAAATAATGGGTTGGGTGGCATGAGCAAGTTTTCTGAGCTGTGTTCTAGGAGTGTTTACACTGATGACTGTGCACTATGGCTTTAACTCTATTTTTGGCAGGTAATTTTGTTTGTTTGGGTTTAGGTTTAATTACTTTATAAATATTATTGAAAAAATGGAAGGAAAAAAGGAAGCAGTTCTTACAATGGTCAATGTAGATGTTGATTAAAAACAACTACAGGCTACTTGAATGGTTTCTGCTGTGGCAACCAGAGTGGTTGAAAGAACGCCCAGAATTTATAAAAGCTGATTAAATCTCACTTTCACCCCCAGCTGTAGGGATACTACTTAATAACTCTACAGGGCTTAGTCCTGGCTGGTGTGGCTTGGTTGGAGTGTCATCCTGGGCACAGAAATGTTGTGGGTTCGAACCCTGGTCAAGGTATGTAAAGGAGGCAACTGATCGATGTTTCTCTCTCTCTCTCTCTACCTTTCCCTCTCTCTAAAATTAATAAACATATCCTTGGGTAAGGATTAAAAAAATTATCAACTCTTTGGGCTTAGTGTCTTCATTGGTTAATTGGGGAATAACTATTTTCCTTTCTTATGTCAGAGGTGTCTTAAGGGTATCAAATGTACCTTGCAATGTATAAAGTCCAAATATAAAGAGTTATATTCTATAAAAACTCTGGAGAATGGAATATTTTCTACTTGAGCAGGTAGTTTGATTTGGAACATATAATGGGCATGTTTCCCTCGGTTTAATAACAAAACCACACAGCAAAAGTGGTAATGGTAAATTCACTAATAATTTAGAAAATAAATGTGTAAATCTATTTTGCTTTCAAGCTGATAAGTTAAGAGTTACCATAGAGATACTGGATCCCTTGTACATCGTCATCAGGAAGCATGAAGTGGCTTTTGCCGGTGTAGGTGTAGATGGGAAACATGAGCGCTCCCGGGTCCTTGGAGTGGTCCAGACCTAAGGAGTGGCCAAACTCATGGGCGGCAACAAGAAACAAGTTGTAGCCTGTAAGAAAACATAGAAGCAATGAGAAAGCCGGGTCCTCCAATGACCAGCTCATGGAAGGGCTGTTATTTCCCTCGTCTATTTTGTGTATCATGGTTTTCCTTTCTTTGCTGCTTTACGCACTTTTTAAAATTAACCTTCAGCTGCTTGGAGGAAAAATCAAGAATTGGTTTAATTTTTATAAATAATTTAGTGCTCTCATTAAGGTTGCCTACATAATTAGAATATCAACAGATTGCTCTCAAATAATTAGTAATCGATAAGAATTCATTAGCAATCCTGACTTGGTCTCTGTTTCCTCAGGTCAGGCGAGGAACAGTGAACAGTGATGACCTTAAATGAGGGGTCATGGGAATCACATGGGCTTCAAACAGGCTGGAGGCAAAAGTGGGTTTACTGTTGCGAGTATGCAAAACACAGAGTTTATCCTTGTATTATTATTTATTAATTATTGTACCATTTTTTTACATGAACAACAGTAAACCTACTTTTCCCCACCCTGTATATAGGATGCTGCCTAGAACATGATCTAAACAGGAGGCAGCATCCAAAAGGATGGTGACCAGGTATGGAGGACGCGCTAAATAGGGCCTCTGAGAATCTGCTTGGGAACAAATTTCAACCAAATGGTCCTTTTCAGAATATCTCTAGACCCTAGAGTTCAAAGAAACAGAAATCTTGAAAATGACTGGCCAACTTCCCTCTACTTTAAAAGATTGCTATGATTCTGCCCGGGCCAGTGTGCTCAGTAGTCAGAGGTCGGCTCAAGCACCGAAGGGTCTCAGGTTGATTCCAAGGTCAAGGGCATGTACTTAGGTTGCAGGCTTGATCCCTGGCTCCCACTGGGGTGAAGGGCGAGTGGGGGGCAACCAATCTATATGTCTCTCACACATCAGTCTCTCTCTCCCCCCTCCCTCCCTCCCACTTTCTCTAAAAATCAATGGAAGAAATATATCCTCAGGTGAAGGTTAACAACAGCAAAAAAAGACTACTGTGATTCTATATTTACATTATTTCCTCTAAGTCATTCTTTCCACCAGTTTTTGAGCCTCCTAATACCGGTATTTTAAATTGGAAAAAGATTAAAAGGAAACGAACACATGAAAAGTGGAGCCAGTGGTTTCAATTTGACTTTACCTTTTGCTATCATAGCCTACACATGAAGAAAAAAATGTATAATTAACTCACTAAATTGTGCAGACCAGAAGAGCAATCAAGGTTCACATAATTTGAGTGACAAGTAATTTGTCATTGAAATGACTTAGTAATGGACACCATTACTAAGTGTCAGCTTTTAGCTGAAAAGTTAATCATGATTTATTTGTGGATATTTTCATTCATTTCAATTAATTATTTCAAACCCAGAATTTATTCAGAAACCTAAAACTGAGGTTTATTGTGACTCTATCTTAAAAATACTAAATGTTATTCTTTCTTCCTAAAACCACTTACCTGTGGAATATTCAGAACATAAATATGTAAATTCTCATCTTTCCTTCCAAAGACAGATTGGAGGCATTGGAGCTGAGGCAATGATCATTCAAGGCCCAGTTTTACTCTTTGAAAAAATAATTCCTTTAATTTAAATGAAAATTAAAAACTAGCTATCTATGAAGACTACCTCTAATTGTCACAGCTAAGAGTCAATACAGATCCAAGTTAAGCCCTAGTTGGAACAATCTGTTTTTTTGTGAAATTAACATTTCCAATTCTTTTGAGTCTTGAACATTCAACTACTGACTGAATTTATTAAACCCTCAGTTTTATTTTTTCTCTTTTATTTTATTTTATTTTTGTTTTTAAATATGTCTTTATTACCCAGCCGGCGTAGCTCAGAAGTTGAGCATTGATGTACGATCCAGGAGATCACGGTTCAACTCCCACTCAGGGCACATGCCCGGGTTGCCGGCTCGATCCCCAATGGGGGGCGTGCAAGAGTCAGTAGATCAATGACTCTCATTAATGTTTCTATCTCTCTCTCCCTCTCAACCGCTGAGCCATGCTGGCCGGGCTATTTTTCTCTTTTAAATACAACTTTCATCTGGTCTGTTTCATGCTGTTTGGAGTAAGACACTATCTTGATTTGTTAGAGTGGTATTTATAAAATCAGTGATATAGACAAGTCTGAAACAGGTAACTCATATAACAGGGAACAGAAATTTGACTGGACTTGTGCCATTAATATTTCCACCAAGCGGGGAAAAAACTATTTCAACTCATATCCAATTCATCTATGACCTATATAGCCAGCTCTAATAGCTTTTAGATATATATTTGTAATAAACTGTATTTCTTTAACAAGCCTAAAGGTAATCCACAGTAAAACACCTTGGTCAACAGAAAGACATTTTGGTCCTATTTCAAAATTAGCTAGTATCCCTCAAGCCACTAAACTAAGTGGATTTTGTTCAATTTTAATCTTTCACATTGGTTTATAGAAATGTAACTTGTGGAGACTAGTAAGTATAAGATAAACTTTTATACTTTTTTGGAAAATATAATCAAATACCAAATATCACATGCTTTCACGTATAATACACACACTTTTTACTTCTTATCAATGGATTTACTGTCTAATCTAACCTAGGAATCATGAATTATATCTTTATAAGAAAGATTACCTTTGGAACTACTTGTCCAAGTTTCATCATCATCAAAATGGGCATCTCCTCCGTAATTTGGCCCAGGAGGAAAAGCATGAGCCAGCAGGCCAGAGGGTCCATCAAATGGGTAGAAGTCGCCATGTTCTACACAAAAGCAAGAGTTAAGAATTTCATTATACCCAGCAGTGCCTAACACAGGAGCTTGGTAAATTTTTATTGAATTCTGTAAGAAGTAATGAATGACTTAGAAAAGAAATTTAAAAATAGAGCCTATTAAGGAGCAGAATATACAAATATTTCGAAAGTGATTCCACATCATTACCTTTCGTTCCAAAAGAGATCATGATATCAGCTGTGCCATTGTGAAGTCTGGTAAAATTCAGGGGTGTCACATCAGACCAAACTTTGAGGGCTTTTTTGAATGCCTTTTCTACTTCAGAATGACTCATATCGGGGGTATAATTCACAATTCTAATCAACAGAAAAGGTTTCAATTAAATTTTTAGAAGGTGAAAGCTATTCTAGAATATATTTTCTTGGAATACAGCTTTTCAACTCAAAATGCAATGGCTTCTCTAAAAGTTCCACTAGAGGTCCATTGTTTTAAAGAACTTATTAATTATGATATCATACAAAGATTAAAATATGAAGAATGCAATGAGAAATTTTGAATATCTCCAAATATCCAACCATTTAGCATTTTAAGTGTAAAGTATTTAGATGTTTAATAAAACTTATATTGCAAGCTAAAAGTTTAGAATTGTACTGCTATAGCTTAAATAAATGCAATCATTCTGTAAAGTTCCTAGAAAAAGTGAAACTCTCTCTTTTTAGCATTGTTATAATAAATATGCCTGATGCACTACATTTGCAAATTTTATTAAACTTATTTTGATTTTGATTTTGTTTCATATCTAAAAGAAATACTTTGAGATTTCCAATGAAAAATAATGCTGGTTAATGTAACAGCAATTAATGTTATGAGACATCTTCCTCAACAGTATTAAAGTTATTTCTGGACTTATTCAACTTCCAGTTAAATAACTAAAAAAATGGGACCAGACATGTTCAATTATCTGTAGCATATGCCGAGAATTAGACAGTTAATACTTTAAGAAAACTAACAAAAATTAAAGAAAGGTAGCCTATGATTTACCTGTAGGTTAAATTCATTTTGGACCATTTGAGAGTTCTAGGGAAAACGTTGTATTCCCCCACATCAGGAACCCCACATCTTGGTTTTTTCATGATGTCTAAGGTGTTATCATCAAGTTTGCCAGTCACTTCTAAGCCAAAAAAGGACTGCATTTCTCGGAGCCGGTGGACCATGGAGCCTGCTGCAGTCTTCTTCAGGATACCAGCGGGATTCAGGGGATAGTAATATGACCTGAGGTAGCGCTAGAAAAGAGACCAAATGAGCTGCTTTTAAAAGAGAAGTGCATGTATGACATAAATCACACCATTGGGATTGGCAAGATACTCTACCTCTGCAAGCTGGAAGTCTTCCTCGGACCGATCCTCATCATCTTCATCGCTGGGAAGGGGCAGGGACCAGCAAGAAGCCCAGCTCCAGAAGAGGAGGGCAGCCAGGACACCTGAGTGCATCTTGAATGGCTGGGCTGGAGGCCGCTGCTTTCACACACAGGCCAGCACCTTTACTTTTATAGACCTACACTGGTGAGTCATCATTTGTGGACAAGTTTCAACTTCCTAGTCACTTGAAGGTAAACATGCTTACATGGCGACTTTTTTTCTCCCCCAAGAAGTGTGGTTTGTGGTAGAATTTGAGGGAAATATAAAATGAGGGCATCTCTCGTTTCAGCAGGGTCTCAGAAACCATCTGGTCAAATGAACGGCCTCAGCATATTTACGGATGCTGTGGGAAGGAACAGCGAGTGGTAAATTTTTCACTTCATTTGGCAAAAATGTTTTTCCCTCTGGAGGAAAGCAGCTACTTTTACTTTTTCAGATAAGAATATCATGATCGTGCACTTGCTTCCATAAATAAAGAAGCCTGTCCTACTCCCAGAATGTTTACAATCTGGTGAGTTCTCAATATTATTTTCTCTAGAGCAACTACAATGGAAATATTATGTCTACCTGAGGGACGTGGAAATGGACCAGGAGAAGCTTGGAGACTTGGAGGTGTTTTAGCACATCCACAGAATTGAGTGCTGTGGCTGGAATTTAAAAGCACAGTGTGATCCCTCCCAGTGAACATGGGGTTCTGCATGAGCTCCCCACAGGTCCAGGCAGGGGTAGAAGGATACATTGGAATAAAACATATTGAAATACAATATAATGGCTAACATATATTGAGGGATTACTACATGCTAGACTTAAAAGGTATTATCTTATTTAATCCTTACAATAGCCTTATGAAGTAGGTACTATTGAAAAGCCCACTTTCACTTTACAGCTGAATAATATGAAATATAAAGAAGTTAAATACTTGTTTAAGGTCATATGAATCCAGGCCAGTAGACTCAAGACTTCATGTTCTTAACCACCACCCAATATGGCATCTACTCCATCTATTCTCAGATATTTTCTTAAAAACTGAGCTGCTTGGTTCTCATACCTCTTAGAGCCCAGGAACATTAGGGCTCTAGATAAACAAATGGCCAGTTTCAAGTTTTTCAATTTTTATTTTTTATTTTGAATAATAGAAGTACTCCTGGTCAAAAAACTCAGGAAAATAATCCTCTAGGGGCTTCTAGTCTATTATTCTTTTCAGAATAGTACATATTAATACCATGAAATCAGAATGCCATCTTAATCCCTCACAGATATAAGTGAATACAGCTTAATGGGCCATCATCTTCAGATTTATTGAATGATTGAAAATGCAAGTTAATTCCAATGACTGAGAGTCAGAGAGAAGCTCAGGTCAGGAACACATTAAGACAAAGAAAAGAAGCATGGATGTGCTTTAGGGTGTGGGCAAAATACTAAAATCTAGATTAGCCAGTACCTCACACAAAACCAGAAAAGCCTATAAAATGCAAACAACTGCATTTGGGATTAAAAGTAGGAATTGAGGGATATTTATTATGCTTTTATCCAAGATAGAGCCAAATAGATACTTATAATAGATTATTTCCAATGAGTTCAAGATTAAATTTGGGCTCAACCAACAATGCTAAACAATAATTTGCTTTAAGCCCTTTCTGTGTAGCATATTTAATTTTCACATTAAGTGAAAATTATACAAAGGTTTGATTAATCTATTAAGCTTATAGAAAATGAGTTCATCAGAAAGCATTTGTTTTTACCAATATATGTTCACAATCTTTTAAAGTCTCCTTAGATATAATTAAAGAAGTCCTTGAAGAATTTTAAAACAAGTAACATTTGTTTAATGTTGGAAAGTGGGAGAAAAGAATGAAATAGGCTAACTATTTATAAATTTCCATATAGTTATAGAAATATTACTACTTTAAACTAGACTTTTTTTTAGAGTCGTCTTATTTATTAAATCAATAAACATTGATTGGGCATCAACTAGGTAGGATACCATACTGGTCATCTAGGAAGATGAAATGAATGATGAGAGCCTTTTTCTTAATCATACAATATTCTCTCTCCCACGCGGAAATATTTTCTTATATGTTTTTATTGATTTCAGAGAGAGGAAGGGAGAGGGAGAGACAGAAACATTAATGATGAGAGAGTCATTGATCGATTGCCTCCTGCATGTCCTTCGCTGGGGATCGAACCCGGCATGTGCCCTGACCGGGAATTGAACTCTGATCTCCTGGTTCATGGATCAAAGCTCAACTGCTGAGCCACACTGGCTGGGCACAAGGAAACATTTTTAATGAGAAATGAAAATAAATAAATGTCCCTGTTTTTCAACTTCAAAAATAATGCTTATTATCAAACACCTTTAGTATTTATTAGATTCTCATTTCACTTAAGAACATAAGCAGTACAAAAGAAAAAACACAGAAAGGTTAATGAGAACATGCTGTTACACAGTCTGTAATTTTGTTAGTAGTGTAAATAAAAATTCCTCAGATTAAAGTAGAAATTGATTCCTTAAGAAAAAAGTCAGACTGCTTGGCCCTGTCCTGTTGTTCACGGAGGAGTAATTTAAGACGGTGATCAGGATGTGTCAGCGCATGGAAATGTGCTGGCAAACTGCTTGTGCACACAAGTCCTTATCTCAGGTTGTTAATTGTTAAGATGAAAGTCAGGCTTCTGGTTATCACCGGTGAAGTGTTTGCGGTTTCAAATGATACCTTTAACACAAAGTGTCTGAGTTGGCCTTTACAAATGGTTCTAACAACCTGCCTACTCACTGGGGAACTGGAAAACCTGTGGAATGAGCAAACAAAACTGCGGGCTGAATTAGGAATGTGTATGTACGACTGATTCAGACATAAGCAATATGGGACTTTTTAAACCATAGGTCATCATCAGTCTCTAAATTCAAAACATCCCCTAAGAGAGAACCAAAAGCACGTGTGAAGGACCTTTGAGTAAAGCGCAGGGGGATTCCAGATTAGGAATTATAGGAACAATGGGCCATTTGAGCTGGGTTAAAATTAGGAAAATTCTGTAAATCAAAGAATCTTTAAGATAAAAATTTTGGCTTCAGTTTAGTGTGTTGTAAATTATCAGTGTTGACAATGAAAGACACTTGGTATTATCTTGATTGTACTAAAAGGTAAGTGATTTGATCTGTGCCACTGCATGAAATAATGATTTTTGTAAACACCCTCTACTGGTTGCTTTGTTCTAGTTTCTGATTTTTTCTCCCCGTAATCCCAAGGAAAGGGTTTACATATCTTATGAGAACTAAACTAGAATTTAAACACTCAGTCATATGGGCAACATAAGAAACGTCCAAACCTCTAGAGAATTTTTTTGAGTTTGAGCCAAAACTGAGGCCATATGCCAGGAAGCAAGATCTCAATTGCTCCAGAGAATAACAGTTTTGCAGCTTCTTTTATGCATCTGAGATTACAGCGGGAAAGTAAGAAAGGTTGCAGGAAGGTGGGAGAAAGCAAGGCCGGGATCAGGTCACAGGACAGTTAAGGTTTACTCTCCTCAGGGCGGTCTCGCTTTAGAAGGAGGGGTCTGAAAGCGGGCCTTTCAAAGTGTGTTAACCTAGATGCGCCCAAACAATGGACAAAGTTTCCTTAAGGTAAAGATAAGCCTTTTACTAAAGAAGTTATATGCCGGGGGCGTGATTACCCACCAGACCTGCCCAGATAGGGATTTATGATCACATCGCCCTTTCCACAGAAGTTCTTTTCCATGGAACCCCCTTTTCACCCACAATATTTATACCCTGGAGTAAGGTGTAAGCCTGACCCACCTAACCTCCCTCTGCACAGTCAGTCACAGCTTAACCCCAGGTGGGATGCCAAGTGCAGAGGAACTCATTTTCCGAGCTGCAGCTGCAGAGCAGGAGGTCAGCAAGTAGGAGGTCATCTACTTCTAACATCTGCATCACGTGCCCTTCAGGGATGCTGTGTTCATACTGGCTTGATCCACAAAAGAAATAAATAGACTCTGCAAGGGAAAAAAGGAAATTCTTTTTCGTTCTTACTCGAGTATGACATCTGAAAGTCAAGACTTAATTTCCTAGGCTCACATCCTAATGAATTTTAATTTGCATGGTGTTTTGTTAAAAGCAGTGACTACTGCCCTGGCCAGTGTGGCTCAGTTGGTCAGAGCATCCTCCAGGACACCAAAAGGTGGCAGGTTCAATTCCTGGTCATGGCAATTACTCGGTTTTGGGTTCGATCCCTGGTTGGAGCAGGTATGTGAGGCAACAGATTAATGTCTCCCTCTCTCTCTCAAAATCAATTTTAAAAAACCATAATCTTGGGTAAGAATTAAAAACAAAACACAGTGATTACTGAATGTCCACCTTTGCCAGATTTAACCAAATACTCTAAGAGAAGATAACCAGGAATAGAACACATATCCTAGCCCATTACTGCCCAAATGTCTTTGAAAAAAGAAAAATCTGAATTGTTTGTCAGCAAATAATAAAAATAGAAACAAGTGAGAAAAATAGGGCCTTTGTGGTTTTAACAACAAGCAATTTCAGTATATTTAAAGATTCCAAATATTTAAACAATGAAGCAAAAAGTCTATTTTTAACATAGCCTCCCCTCACCTTATTACCTGAATTCACTAAAGTAAAAGCTGTTACATATTTTTTAATCAATTTTCTGATTTGAAGAAGTAATATAAAAAAAAGCAACAAACTTATTACATAATGACTGGAAAATAGGAAAAAAACCTAGAAGAAAAAATTACTGTAATACCCCATGATTTTTTTTAGATAACCCCCACATATGTATCCTTAAAGTTTACTTATTTATTTATTTATTTATTTATTTATTTATTTATTTATAATCCTCACTCAAGGATATTTTTTCCATTGCTTTTTAGAGAGAATGGAAGGGAGAGAGAGAGGAAAAAACACTGATGTGAGAGAAACACATTGATTCGCTGCCTCCTGCATGTGCCCTGACTGGGGCCAGGGACCGAGCCTGTAACCAGGGTACACGCTCTTGGCTGGAATCGAACCCGAGACCCTTCAGTCCTCAGGTCAATGCTCTAACCACTGAGCCAAACAGGCTAGG